GAAATCGGAGGATTGGCGCGGCGAGAGCTGCTTCAAAGGAGTGAACCAGCCCACGTGCTCTATTGTAAGAATTCTTTTGCGATAAAACTGTTTTGCTTACAATTCATTAATATTTGTTTACAGTTGAACTTGTTTTGCTTACTATTAATAAATATTTGTTTATAGTTGAAGAGCTTTAGACTTTTATTCCGTTGACTGTTTTGTCATTTGCTTCTTTTTGCGACTTGGCTAGATCTGGTTCACAATTGCCAACATTTGTGACAGACTTATGGAAAAGTACCAAATGCTCTGTCGATACGATAATATGTGGTCGCAAGTTTGGAATCTAAAATTTACATTAAAGGTACTAAGTTTACGACTTCTTTGCTGACCAAACAAACATTAGGAACATTATATTTCCAAGATTGCGAACAATATTTTTAGATTTTATTTCAAAAATGTTTTTAAAGGCGAATATTTTTTTTTTAAATCAGCGCATGCGTTTACTTTTTTGATAAGGCACACACTTCAAAGTTCACAAACTTCGGTGTCATTTAAAACTTAAACATTTCTTTTTGCATGAGAATAAGTAACCTTTAAAAATTATTGAACATGTGTTTCTCTTCAAGTTCTTTTTCTTTTCAGTTATTTTTAGTTGATACACTTTTTGGCCAGATACCATGAATATTGTCATGTATGTTTCCTTAATCAGTATTGTTTTCATAGATTCCAAACAGATACTGTCCCTGGACAAATTATCCGCCTTCCAATGAGGTGAACCAGAGTTCGATCCCGGCGATGACTGGTCGATACGAAATCTGCATCCGGCTAGCACCAACCACAGTGCTGACGTGAAATATCCTCAGTGGTAGACAGATCATGGATGAGAGTCCCCTTACCATCAGGCTGACCGTGGGAGATTTTCGTGATCTTCCTCTCCATGTAACGTAAATTCGGGTTAGTTCCATCGAAAAAAGTCCTCCACGAAGGCAAACTTCTCCCAATACTTGATCGAGAAATTCCCTTGTCTTCTGTATTGGGTTCAAAATTACAAGGCTACGGAGTTGAACATTAGTAGATAGTCTTAAACCCAAAAATTGGGTCGGCTGTTCAACGACGGTTATAAAATACATAAAATAAAATAAAATGTTGTTTAAAAGAAATATGCCAAAATATCTTTCAGACAGTGACAAAATGACACTGAATTAAAAATAAGATAAAGATCAATTTACTCACCCTATAAAACATCCATCCACTTAAAGCTACAAGAACAATGTTGTAAAGAAGCATCGGTGTTCTTAAATCATATGGATTCCTGTTTTTCATCATCTTAGGTCCAATTATTTTGATATAAATAAGAAAAATGATAACACCTGCGTATGTCTTGTATGGTGAATCCATCAAAGGATAAGAAATTACTCGTGGATCTAAAAATCACAAAGTTGGTTTTACGCTTAAGAAATTTAAATATTAGACTTTTATTAAATTTTCTATAATCATAAATAAGCTTTAACGCATTGAGCTCACCTCGTTTTCTTAATTAAATCCGCGCCCGGCCATACGCGCTGTTTATAAGTGCTAGTATTGTGATATAGCAAATCGTAGCACACCACTGACAGATTAACATAAAAATTAAAGTATTTGTAATAAATAAAAATCAATTAAATTTTTAATAAATTTTCAGTAATTACTTAATATGTATGAACGTTTTTTAGTTTTATCTTAATTTTTACACACTTAATAATTAATTTTTAGTTTTATACTAATTTTGTTACCGATGAGCAGCGTGGCATTTAATAATTTACTCTATAAGCGTCGTTGAACAGCAGACCCAATTTTTGGGTTTACGACAACTAATGTTCAACTCCGTAGCCTTGTAATTTTGAACCCAATACAGAAGACAAGGGAACTCCTGGATCAAGTGTTAGGAGAAATGTCGCCTTCGTGGAGGACTTTTGATGAAACTAACCCGCATTTACGCTACTTGAAGAGAAATACCACTAAAACCTCCCACGGTTAGAATGACGGCAGGGGAACTCTAAGCCATGATCTGTCTACCACTGAGGATATTTCACGTCAGCATTGTGGTCGGTGCAAGCCGGATGCGGAATTCGTGGCATTCAATATATTGAAAAATAACGTAACTTTAAACAATAGTGTTTTTAATATAATAGAATCTATTATATAGTGTCTCATATAATACTAGAACCCCCTACCGCTTGCTAGATTGCATCGCAATTTACGCTCGCTTAATTAACGTATTTTTACCCTGTTTCGTATATATATCGCGTTATTCGTTTTTAAAGTAAAGTTCTAAAACTAGGTAACATATACATCCTGTGAAACTTTTGATTCATATATATTTTTGTGCTCTTCGAGTTCGGCTGTCTTCAATCCTTTGTTGCCAACGCGAAAAAGAAATTTTATCAGTTTTTTTTTTGAAGTTATACTTCTTATGCGACTTCCAACAAGGTTGGGTTAAACGTTTAACGCTACATTTTTATTGGCCGGGAAATCACGTGGTAGGATCCAGTTTTCCCTCATTCATTTCCATATTGTTTTGGTTATCAGTAGCATAAAAATAATAAAAAAAGTATTGTTTTTCTATAAATATTTTTTTAGTTTGTTTTCATACACATATAATTTAATAGGATAGTATTTTTTTTTTTCAAATTTAGTGGATAACAATTGTAAAAAATGAGTGAAAACAATCCCACGGACAATGCGACGGATTTAAGGTTATGTCAAGGTACGTCTCTTGTGAATATCAATTGATTGTTAGGTTTTCTCTTTTGAAATTACATTATGACGCATTCACATACATTATTAATACAAATACATTTTCCATGGCGAGACGATGAGGCAACCACAAGCACTTCCACTGGTTCAAGAGGTCCACGAGGGAAAAATGCACAATATTACCGTGATTACAGAGCACGGAAGCGAGCGGATCAGGAAAATGAGTCGTTGAATAGAACTAGTGATCCTTCTACGACTGCTGATTCTTCTACAATTAACGTTGCAGGTTGCGAAGTTTAACTTCTTCCGCGTGGAGGGACTCCATGCCCTATTCTTTTTTTCTATTAAAAAAAACATAATGCGCATTTCTGTTTTATAGAATGAGAATAAGACAGAGAGATAGTAACACTAATTTAAAGTTTGGTGAAGTAAATAGAGTGGCCTGCCGGGATTGCTTTATATCTTTTTATATATTGCTGCTCGCGTTGGTCGAGATCCCATGACTGTTAGCAGAATATGGAATAGATAGGTTCATGACGGTCATATGGAACGGCATGCAGGATCTCAGTAGCGCCCCATCACTAACAGCCGAAAAGACAGACCTGTTGTCTAAATGGCCTTAAGGGATCGTACAGCTACGTCACGAACTCTGAGTCAATAAATGGGGTGGGGTCATTTGCAAGACAACAAGTGTCTGCAGGAACAGTTCGTCGACGTTTGCTGCAGCATTGACTGCCAGCATGGCGACCATATCTTCGGCTACCCTTGACGCTGCATCACAGGCAGGAGCGCCTCCTATCAACCTCGAATCTGGACGCAGAAATGGCATGACGTCGCCTTTCAGGCAAATCCAGGTTCTGTATACAGCATCATGTTGGCAGCCTCAGTGTTTGGCGACATCGTGGAGAACGCCCATTGGCAGCTTGCATTCGACATCGTCTTACCGGCCCATCACCTGGAATAATGTTATAGGGTACCATTGTATACACGTCTCTATCACCCCTTGGTCGCATTGCCGACACTTTGAACAGCAGCCGTTACATTTCTGATGTGTTAGGGCCAGTTGCTCTCTGCCTTATCTTTGAGGCCTCCACAACGCTACGTTTCAGCAGGGCAATGCACGACAGCATGTTGCCTGCACTGTTTTCACCTTCCTTGACACAGAACATGTTTGCCTGTTGCTCTGACCAGCACGTTCTCCTGATCTTTCACCAAATGAAATCGTCTGATCAATGGTTGCCGAACGACTGGCGTGCCACCACTCGTCAGTCACTAAGGTCGATGAATTGTGGCATAATAATGAAGCTGTATAAAATGCTGAACCCGTCCATGCTATCCAATCTCTGTTCGACTAAATCCCCAGAAGAATAACTGCTATTATTGCTGCCAAGGTAGGCTGCTCTGAGTACTGATTCCTCAAGATCTATACATCCAAATATCCTGAAAATTTAATCACTCGTTTTTCCAACTATAATGTATGTGCCCAATAAATAACATCCTGTCATTTGCAATCCTTCGTGGTGTAGCAATTTTAATGGCCAGTAGTGTATATGTGTGTGTATATATTATATAGAAAGGTAAACTGGAACTTACCTCCATATTTTAGGACATAATCTACATCCACCGTAATATTATGAGAATGAGAATCCATTATCTCGGTGGCCATTTTACAGTTATTCAATCTGTAATAAATGCATTATAAAATATATTTTGATTTAATAATTTTCTATAAGCAAATATATAGTCTTTTATTTTTTTAGGATACAAGCAAATTTGCAGGGGAACGGTCGAAAATACCGGACGTCGCAACGATAATAAAACTTGCAGCGCTTCAATTCCAAACTGCCTCTCAAACAGCAGCATTTTTCCTGAAGCAGGCATAATTTATTTCAGAAATTGGAAATCGAGAATAAATTGTTGCCTTTCTACTAGAAAAAAAAGTATTTTAAATCATTTTAACGCTTCAAGTTTGGCACACTTGTGTTAATATTTTTTTACATCATCCATTCAACTTTCTCCATTAATTGAGATATTTGTTTTCTTCAATTGTTAGCTACGAATTTTACTAAATTTAGATTATAAAAAATGCCAGATTAGAAAGTTAAGTGAAATTGCCCTTACATTGAAAACAAGAAATATCGATAGCACTTTATTAAAAATAAAAAAAAAGTGTCGCAGTAAGGAGTCAGCTTGGAATTGAAAAAAAGAGCTGCACGCTTTGTAATCTTGCTACAGAATCCTAAAGTTTTCTCTTTTTTTATTCCTAAGCAGATATTTTAATAAATTACTTAAATTTTTATATGAATGATAAATAGGCCCTTTAGTTCAATAAGGTAAATGATATTAAATATAAAAAAATTAGTAAAATTTAATCAAATTTAAAAAAAAACATTTTGATATCTTATCGGCTTTCAAACCCCTATTTTTATTAAGTTTAAGTTTCATAATATATTTGACAAGTTAAATAATTTGTTTCCAGTAAAAGATTTTAACATAAATAAAAGATATAAATCTAATAAAATTCTTGGTAGGACAATTTTTAATTATAGAAAAAATAGTTCTTTATTACATATTATAGTTCATTATTGGCAAAAATTTAGAGAAAATGAATATATCTGATTATGAATGTCACTGTGTCGGAGAGAAATATTTTGAATTTGTTGATAAATATCATAAATATATTACTACAGGTAATTTAAATATTATAAAAAATTTGAAACTAATAAATTTCAATGTTAAAAGATCCAAAATATAGACCCATTCTATCAGTAAAATTCTAAAATGTTTTCTTAATGATCTCAATAATTTTTGTCTAAAGATCTCAATTTGATTCTCTTTACCTTCTATTGTTTGTTAATAGAATGAAAATGTGCTGTTCATTACTAATTAAAAAACCTTTTTTAAATAATGAAGGAATTTAAAAACCTTTTTTAATAACAGTAACAATTCATCAAATTTTTCTGAAACTGATATAGCAATTAAGCAACTTCAAAAAAAAAAATTATTACCCCCATATACAAGATCAAGGGCGCCGGCAGCGGGGTGCACTTGCACCCCCCTGTTTTTTTTTTAAAAACAATTAAAGCGATACAGAAAAATAATTTTGTTATAAAAAAAATATTTTTTAAATTTTTTTATTCAAAAACAAACAATTAAATAATTGATACATAACAATTAAAAAATTGGATGGATTGGACATTGGACAATGGACACAGCTAAGTAAAAATATATGGACACAGCTAAGGGAAAAATAGGAAAATGACGATGTGCAGATTACTGTTAGGAAAAGAAAAAGATCCTATGCAAGTAGTACTAAACTCAGTGGCACGACAGCCCATAGAGGGCCATGGTCTACTATGCCCATCTCAGTTTTCTTGACCTTGGGCTCTGGGGTACAGGAGCAGATGTTCCGTTTATGGTTGTTTGCAANACTGTGCCCATCTCAGTTTTCTTGATCTTGGGTTCTGGGGTGCAGGAGCAGATGTTCCGGTCAGGTGGTCAGTCGAACGCGGAACCCCCAGTTTTTAGTTCCCAAGCATGCTTGGTACTCATTAATCGACCCATTGAAGGGATGAAAGGCTGAGTCAATTTTGCCCGGCCCGAGGATCGAACCAGGGACCTGTGGCACGACAGAGCTACCGCTCAGCCACCGGGCATCATGCAAGTAGTATACAACTATAAATTAATCAGTTACATAATTTAATAATTTTAAGATTGATTAAATTTCCTAAACAAAGTTGAAAATTGTACAGAGATAATGGAAGTCAGTTAAGGTAAGGAGTTATAAATAATGACTTAAATAGTAAACCTTGTTTTGATTCCGTGTAAGCACAGCTTTTGAATTTAGATTGGCTCTCCTCAACAACCTAGAAGTAAAAACACTTAGATTAAATAAAATTTTGAAAATCTACACACCGAAACAAATAATTTACATCAGAATATACTTTCAGGAACTAAGGTGAAATCTGAATGATTTGTGGGATAGACCTTAAATAGGCTTAATAATTAGTGAAAAAAATATTTTAAGCTATAAAATTGAGCAAAAAAAAAATTGCTATAAAAATAAACACACTTTTTTTTGGACAAATTATTCAGNTCTATTTGTTATATAGTTTAACAAAGGTGTATAACACAAACTGATTTCTCACAACTGTAAAACTTCATCAACGCAATAAATACCAATCTTAAGCGTGCACAAACACGCTAGTATACGAAACTACTGTTTGTAGTTATTTGTGTTTCAAAATCAGTAGCTATGCCAGCGCTATCAGTACAGTTTCTCGTGGCAAAATTTGCAAGTACAATAAATTCGTACTTTTTTTTAAATATCTTCTATACGATGAAGAAATATATCTTGAAAAAAAATTAACAAATGAAAGTATATGTAATAACAAACCAAAATGCAATAACAGAACATTTTAATATTTTTTTTGGTGGGTTGCATCACCTTTTACATTATTCTGCCGGCGCCCTTGTACAAGGTTAACATTAACTATGCAATCTACCGTAAATTCTATTTTGGACTTTTAAATAAGGAATTAATGAATTGTAAACATTTTAAGTTTAGTAATTTAAATAACAATATTATCATTAAAAAAATTTGTTTTCGTTTAGAGGTTAAAAATTTAAAATTAATTCCATATTTAATAATAACAATAACAGCAACAATTCAACAATTTTTTTTCTAAAACTGATCGAGCATTTAAGCATTCACAAAAAAAAAAAAACTTTTATTACCCCCGTATAAAAAGCTAACAATAATTACGCAATCTCTTGATTTTCAAGATTTCTTTTCCTTTTGATGTCATTTTGAGTTACTACTATGATTATAAACGTATCCTTAATTGCATCTCTGATTATTGGGAAATTCTAATTATATATGTCTTTTTAATAATTTTCCTTACAATGGAAAACATTTTTTTGTTCAAATAGATAGAATACAACAGGAATCTAATTTTTCGTCGCATCTAGCTTGCATATTTTTTCACTTTAATGAGAGAGAAAATAAATTATACTCTTAATATTAAATATGTTTTTAGATTTATTTATGATTTAATTAACCTTAATTTTCAAATTTATACAATTTTGTTAAATAATCTTTACCCCGAAGAAATAATCCCATTTTGTAATCGTGAAGATAATATTATTTTTACTATTTTGGATTGAAGTAATAAAAAAGAGGAAAATATATACACTGTAGACTTATTAGATAAAAGAAATGAATTATTAAATTTAATATAAATTAACTAATTGCATGAAATTCTAATGTTTCTATAAACATTCATTCAAGTACTATTTTTAATCAAATAAAGAGAATTAAAATAATTTGCAATAAGTGTAACATATCGACAAACTCTTCAAAAATTTATTTAAAGGCAATGGATATCCAACTATTGTAATTAAATTCTATATAAAATCATTGAGTTATTTGTGAGTTGTAATTATTAATGAATTCATTAACACAAAAAATTGCTATCTAAATTGATATTTTTCCCATGTGCAAATTCAATTCGGACAAATCCGTTGTTAAAAATTTTCAAATATTTAATAAAGGATTTTTTGAATAAATGTTGAACGTTAATAATTTCTTCAAATTTAGAATGTTGTAACCTTTTATTAGTCATGTTTTTACTTTTATTAGTCACTAACTTCGAATTTTCCAGTGTAATATAATTGCCTTGCGCAAATCCAGCTTCGGGCTGATCCAAGGTAACAGACAAATCAAATACGTTTCTCTACTTCAGTAAAAACGAGCTGCAAAATATATCCCTCTATTCCCTATTTACGTTCTAATTTCATAGTTTGGAATCTGGTTTTTCATATTTTATAATCTAGTTACGAATATATTTTTATCAAGTATTCAGTAAGTAAATGGATGTCTGACCTCGCTACTTGCTTTATTTATCAAATTTTGAGTTATATTCTGTAGTTTTCTTTAATGTTTGTTTTATTTTGTATTTTTTGCTTCATATGTTTTATTCCATTTCGATTTTTTTTGGTGCACTTCACACTATTATAATGATATATTTTGCTTTGGCTATATTAATGCTATATTAGAAAGCATACTAATTTACGTGTGAGTCGACCACAAATTACATCTTTTTGTTCGAAATTGTATTTTTTTTCAGAGGACAATAAATTTGGTAAATAATTACCTAATTCTACTCTTATCACAAATCATTTTTATGCATAAATGATATATTCTATAATGAAAATAAATAAATGCAAATACATTTTTTTTCATTATATCCCAGTCAATTTTTTATAAGAATCTTAACAATGTAACTCATATTGTCACGCTTGTCACATTAAGAAAGGGTTTAAACAGATATAATTGCATTTTTGCACAAGAAATAACGTCGAACATTGAAAATAAAAATCTAAATACCTTTCTGAATGCTTGTCCTAGCAAATATTGTTCTTTCTATTGAAAAAAAGATAACTTTCGACTGTTTTCAAGTAGGCCTTCACTGTTTCTTCAGTACATCGCTATTCTATGTTTACGAGTAAATGCTCGGATCCAAGCATTTCCTCCATAATTATGGCATCATAATCTTTAAGGTCATGCGCTTGATAAATATCAGCCCATCGTATAACAGAGGAAATAATTAATTTGAAAGGGAGAATGATTAAATACCTTAACAGAAGTAGTGATAGAAATCTAAAACTGACTTTGACTAACTAATTGATCGAAATGTAATACAAGTCCTCAGCTTGAAAAAATAATGTGTGTGTATTTCAGTAAATTTACAAATACTATTTTACAGTTTTTAAAGATAATTATAAGCAAAATATTTGACTAAACTAATTATTACTTTTATGCAAGAGCTAAAATATTCATATATATATATATATATATATATTTTAGCTACGCCACTTGAGTTATAAAATATAAAATTTAATAATTTTAAATTACCTTGCGGAATTTTCAAGTTGATTAATTTACGTCACCAATTACGATTGCTGTATGTGATACTATAAAAACAAAATAATTTTTTATTGTTTATTTTAAAATAAGACAAATATAACTTTTAAACAAAATGATTTGGCAGCATATTATAGATGTATAATGTTAAAACTGTAAAAGATTAAAAAGATTAAGCATACCATTTCTTCAGCTTGATTATCTATTTGAATTATGGTAATAATGAAAAAGAGATTTAAGTTTTTTCCTGGA